GGGCCATAAAAATCCCAATGTATTTGTTATGAAGAAAATATTTTGTTTACTTAAACAGGCGAATAATTTGTATTAATTACAGCTGTTCATAGTAAACATATGATACAAAAAAGAGCGTTCGTTTTCAGTTTCGACAACTGGAGTGGAGTGATTACAGATTCTGATTTAATTGTCTTGGAGTTGACTCTTTTACATCGGAAATTATTACTTTAAGGGTAATTCGTTTTGAAATAACGCCTGTAATACTTTGCAATTGCTCGAATTCGAGCAAGAGGACCACTAGTTAAAAATAATAGTTGTTAACGCAGCAACGCGCGTCGGGTAACTGCTAGTCCTTAATAAATAGGATGTACGTTGTACACATATCATACACTTGTCTGCCTATGGTAAATCAAACCTTCAGTTCCATCTCTCTTCTAGTTTCATAATTTAACAATTACATTTCATATCCTTAATATTTCATACATTTGTTGTTGAGATTTTAAAGGTATCACTGTATTAGTTCCTTAATTTTCAAATAGGTTTACGGTTCACGTGTAACAAAAATGTCCACAAACTTTAGTAATATACTAACTGTTTACCTTTACTTGAGACTACCACACGTACAACCTTCAACACCTGAGAAAGCTTACATAAGGTTTTTGCTAGACTCCTGTCATTTTTTACCGCTACCAGTTCTCGACCGACATTTTTTGTTCCAACCCGGTTGTGGGTTTTGTTGGCCGTTTTTCCAATGAGAGCTCCTTATTCATACGTCGACCTGCCTTTTACAGTTTTACATATTAATAGGAAGATTTAATTTTATTTCATAGAATGCAAATAGGAAATGTTAAAATAATATAAATCATGTATTCCAATTAAAGTGAACCCAAAGTATCTTTGAAATTTGCAAGGTTAAAAAAAGATGTGAAAGTGCAATACATTATAACCTTATAGGATTATTGTTACCTTGTCAACCAATACGTTCTACGAGTTTGTTATAATGTGTATTTAAATAAGTATTTGATTGAATGTTATAATTTATGCAAATGTGACTAGCCAAATAAGCCACGTGCTCTGAATAAGAAGAATGCATAGAATACCAAGTAGTATGGTTTTATTTGAGTAGATGAAAGTTAGATTCAAAATATAAGTCAGTTTTATGTGTCGTCAAAGAAGTGCATAATGTTTCACTCGGCTTCCAGAGCTTTTATATACATTTATTCGACTAAGTATTATGTATCGAACATAACTCAAGGGATTTACAGTTTAGTTTTTCGTATTTTTTTGCACTTTTTATCAACATTTGTTTTCATCGTAATTTGATCATCGACCCGGCGACATCAACCAAAACGTAATAACAAATACTCCTCTTCATATTTTACCAATTGAATCTGATATGATTACGACAACTTCCACTAGCTAATTCTTCTAAGTGATTTTTACTATCAGTTAAAGAGTTTAAAATGGTATACCAGAATATACGTCTATCCTAAATGCACTAATGCTGTCAGTGTCTAGCAGCCTGATTTCGGACCCGGACTCAACTGAATCGTCAGTTCCTTTCTCTTAACACACCTTTCAATGAGATTGAAACCATCTTATGTATGTAGATCCGACAGAACGCTCGATACTGACTGATGATGTCTCGAAGAAGCCTAACAAAATACTACCGATCTCCTCCTTCTTGTGTATTTTAATTAAAATGTTTCAGATAAAATTGTAATAGAATGTCTACATATCGATACAAAGACACATTTTAACTACATCCTGCAAAACATTTTTTTCATAAACCCTATTACACAGTGTCAACTAATCGGTCCATAAAAGTCAAAATCAAACTATAGGCCACTTTTATTACACTGATTTCTGCTAACTGATGTCTAGACGCTACATCCATCCGTACGTGACGCATAATCCCTTACCGTTGTTACCATTTTTAGTCGGTATTTTATTAATGTCGTATATTTTTTAAATGGTCGCCATTTCATAAGAAAGTATTAAAGTCTTTCACTAGTTTTAAATAAATGTAACTTTTTATCGTTTCTATGTTCGTGTTCGTGTCCGTGTCCGTGTCCATGTCCGTGTCTATGTTCGTGTATAAATGTACAATATGTGTATCCACGACCATCTGATGAAGTGACTTTGACATTCCCTGGACGCCCGAAGATGACTTCGTGAGATGTTGAAACTAGTTGCGTCATTGCAACAACATTTTTGGATTACAAGAAGCAGGTATTTACTAACAAGAAAAATGGCATTATTTTTAGTTAGTCAAATCAAATTGATCGTGAAATCTATTAAGTAACACTTTCAAATGTTCCTATCCGGAAGCCGCCACTTCACGGGGTGTAGAACCTATTCACCCGATGCGCCGGAACTCTGAACACAGCCTTCGGAGAATGACCTATGAATCTACGGTTCAACAAACAAAACATTAACTTTGATATAATACACATGTTTAAATTTAACACCCTTAACATTCTTTAGTATGTATATTTTTTATAAATTAACATTACGCAATTGCCTTTGCATGTTTATTCAAATGTTGCGGTAGTGGCAGGCCGAGACGCTGACCAAGGCAGCCGGTTTATATAACTCGTTTACCAGATGGAATGTACGTTGGATATTAAGGCCATGTGATTTATTTATTCTGAGGACAAATAATAAATGATAATTAAAGGTAGAGAATGAAAGTTTTAAGTGAAGTTGTTCCTAAATATTGATAAACTGTCACAATAAAAAGGCTTCCTTTAACTTTAAGAGCATACGTTTAACCACGTGCGCAGCAGTATCAAAGCAGTGGTCCGAAAAAAACTGTTCCGAAAAGAATGCGATGCTGAGGCACTGCTCCGAAAGAATGAACACAGTCAGGTACTATTATCCCTTAAACCACATTTTACAAAGCCAATAAAAATACAGTTACTTAGTAAAAATACAGTTAGTTAGTTAAAAAATACAATTAGTTTTAACATTAAGCAACAATTAATTGCAGCTTCTGCCCCATCTAATTTGAGTGCGTTTTGTCATTAAACTTATTTAATGTTACTACCCCTGCCTTGAATTAGATAAACCAGATAATTACCCTCAAACTACGGAACAATATTGTAAAGCTAACACTATAAAGTTAATAATATATTATCATGCATAGGCCTACTGGCAGTATCCAACTTCTTCAGCAGTAATTTCCTGCAACTTATGTGGCTAATCTTAAGAGAACAAACCCTACATGATTATAGTCTAATAAAAACTCTATCAAGCAACGGAGATTAGATAAGTCAGATGGGTTTGCTGCAATGCTTGTATGTTGTAGTACCATTTAAATGCATGGTAGTACAAACCCAAAGAGATGTTTGTACCCGATTAACAAAAATCCACCATGGTAACATAAGATATGATCTAAAGTATTGCATTTTCTTTTCTCAAGTTACACGGAGCTCATTGAGATCGGGCAACTGTGTAACGTCATCAAGCAAAATCGGATGAACGTATTTTAGCCATACTTACCAAGGTTATTTAGACAAACAGAGGAAGGTTTTTTATGTAGAAACGAATTCCAATTTTAAAATTTCCACACAATTCAGGACTATCTTAAAATTTCAACATTTAACTTTATGCATAAGGGTTACCACTATGGTTTCGAAAAGTGTAATCTATAATTGTACTTGTTAAGAAGATTTTTCACGTCTTTGTCCGCTCCACTCCACATATACATGAACATTTGTATTTTGGTGTGTTTCAGATCTGATTACGTTTAGTTGCGGTAATGTTGACTTAATGTATTGCTCGTATTTTGTGGTGAATTTTACATTGTACTGTATGCTTTACCCTATGCTAAAATAACAGAGGGCAGGCTAAATTGTACAATAATAATTTAAAGCTATGTCGTACTAATTGGTTGTAATGTTTTAAAATATGAAAAAGGGACAAAATATAAATATGAAACATTAAACGTTCTCTTTACTAACTAGATTAAAATATATACAAATTATCTTCGGCTGGCCCTTAAGGATTACAATCGTACTTTAATTTATAATATGAAACTGTAATATGGTCGACAGCGTGTGTGTTGCTATTGCTGTAGGTACATTTCTTCTTGCTCAATCAAAGCAAAAAAAAACTTTGAAATCTTATCTTTCTAACAGTGTAAAATTTACTTTTTTCCGATTTATACTTTTCGAGATACAAAGTCCTGAAACTGGGTCCATATTTTTTAATAGCCCTCTTTTTGTATAAGCTACGTCCTCAAGATTCACGGTAGGGCAAATCAGGATTCGTTAAAAACCCAATAATCCAAAAACTGTCAACCTTATTATCTAAAAAACTTAATCTAGAGCTAATCTATTGACACTATCATCTAGTTTCAGCTAATCTAGTGATTTGTTACCTAACTGCTCGTTATTCAACCTCCTAACTACTGTACACAGTAATCTAACATGGTATTATTCAATTCCCAACCAACATAATAATCTAACGATTCTATCCAATTTTACAATTTAATAATAAAGTGCATATTACATTTTTACAACACCGACCCACCAAGTTACATTTTTACGTTCACGGGTGACGAAGTGCTGAGTATCTTTGGTTTAATATTATATAAGCCAAACTGCAATTCGCGGGTTCAGTAAACAAAATAATCAGGCATGAAATACCCCTCCGACACACATCACATAACTCAACTAGCTAATTACATATTTATATAATGATCCACCCCACCCATTAAATTTAATGATTTAATATTCCAATTTAGATTATGTTCGTACAACGCCTCACAACTAAGATGCTTATAAAGTATAAAATGAATGAAGAAGTGTTGATTGAATTAATAGCTTTTACCAGCATTTACCACATCTTGAAAATCTCAAACCGTTACATAAGACAAAATGCATTCCAGGGTTCAGTAAACATGGAATCAGGTGGAAAATACCCCCGTCCCCGCATCTCTAGTCACATGGTTTAACCGGTCTCCCGGCGGGCGGGGGGCGGGGGAGGGGCGGGGGAGGGGGAACCCACTCTCACGTCCACCTAGACCTTTAGTACATCAGTACCGCAGAACCTGACTGCCGTAGCGACCTATAGTGTAGTGTTAAACCTGTCAACGATCGTCAGGACGGGATTTATAAGGTAATTTATGGTTATAGTATGTAATATATACTTATGAATACTCTACAAACTAAAACTAGTTCATTGTTATCAATATTTAGTTGGCGTTAGGTGTCCGGCGGTCGCACCTGGTTATATAAGTGTTATGTAACCGCGGCTAGGAGCATCGCTCGATAGCGAATATTAGGGTTTGCGTTTGTTTTAGGTATGTGGTTGGAAATTATGTTTGAGTAGTTTTCTGTTTTTATTTATTTGTAGATTTTTTTTACTTTAAGTTTTTTTTTTTCTTTGATTTGAGGTGTAGAACAAAGAAAGTTACGTTTTTCGGAGTTGTTTTTAGTTCTGAAAGCGTTTGGTTCTCATTACGAAGCAAATTCTAACTTTATGTATTTGTAGGGTTTTTTGTACTGTCTTCAAAATCTGGTAAAAAGTAACAATATTTAGGTTACAGTAACGATGTGCAGGAACGTTGTATTGTTGCCACAAAGCTAATCTGGCTCTCTAGCGGAGGTGAAAAAGTACCGTTATAAACCATTGGTGTATAAAAGTAAGTTAGTTTTATACACCGATGTTGTTAACAGAATGTGCATGGATTATTAGTTTTATGAGCTGTAAATTGGTGACCTTAATCAAAATAAAATAATGTATTTACTTCACAGTAAGAAAAACTATTAGAAACACAAATTATTATGAATTAATAATATTTTAATTTCAAATACTGAAAAAGTGTTTAATTTCAATTAGCTTTAGAATTTTGTATAGCTCATCCAGAGACTTGGTCGAGTAGAATTGCTGATGGCGTAAAATGTGTTGAATTATTTTTTATTTCAAATAGACCCGTTTCCCAAACTTTACTACACAAAGGTTTGGTTAAGTAATGGAGCATCAGTTTGGGAAGATATTTAAAAAAAACCTGAACTGACATTTGTTGTTAGCAGTTTCAACTTTCTTTCTTTGGTCTTTCATTTTTCATATTTCGCTTAGGTTTTAAATAATAATAAAATAACCTATATGACTTTCTGTGAGTTCTAATTTCTGTGATTTAATAGTTATTTGTTAATTTAATAGTAATGTGTGGGAAGGTTTTTTCTTGAAATGTAGAAATTGTGAACCAAAGCAAACATCAGCACACTCTCTTCCATTTTGGATCAAGCTTGTGTTACCTCCTTAGTGTGATTATTCGATTACCTGAGCTTATTGTAATCAGTTGTTTTACAGTCCATAATGTTTCAAGGTCACCTCGTGTTTCCTAGGTACGAAATGTTTGTACATATCCTACTTTGGAGAGTCATCACTTAAATCAACTTAACCTAACGATATTTCACCAAGCCAAACTTTAATATCCAGATATTGTAATCGAAAGATCTATCTAAGTTTTCTATAACTATAATCTAGGTTACGTATCTTTAGTCGTCGTCAATCCACTATTTATTTTAAGATGATAAGTTTCGAGGCTTTCCCCATTTATGGATGCAATAAAATCGTCAAAGTCTTTAAAACACGTAGGCCTATCTACATAAGAAATACTTTTATCTAAATACACTGAACACCGACAAAGGGACATACCAGTATGAGTAGACTATCAGTATCAGTACAGTATCAGTTACATGATCACGTGGTCGGCAAAATAAAACTCTGAAGTGCAGGGACACCGATATATATTCTAACATCGATAATTTGGCACATTTGACGTTAATATAAAAGCTATCCATAAGAACTGTCATGTTATTGAAGAAATAGATCACAGCAGAAAGTATACATAAAATGTATCTAGGAAACGTCAAAATTAGTTAAGATTTCGTATATAAACTCAATAAAATTTATTATTTAGATCTTTATTCTCGTTATAAAAATTATGTTTAAATATTATTCATTAATATTAAGATTTCAATTCAAATAGTACGTTATGTTTTTTACTACTAAAACCCGTGCCTATGCTACGACTGGTTATTATAATGACTACACATGCACTAATGTGTGGATTAGACATTCCGCTGGAAACTTAAGAGTTTGTACCTTAAAAAACCCCCTATTTCAATTGAGTAACATGTGAATAACACATGTGTAAGTAACATTGTGTAAGTGAGTAAGTGAATAACATTACAGTGGGATTGTTAACGCATTGGTTCAGAGTGGACTGCAGTAAAAACTTTGAAAAACCAAATACAATACAAACATATTTTCCATTTAACTTATAAACCTTAGGGAATATTCTTGTTAAGACTGGCAGACCTGTTTTCCCCAAAATCACGAACAAACCATGGTCTTTATTTCACGTTATGAAGTATTTGTTTAAACATGCTTTGTATCAGCATCAGTTTGACATAATAAAATACCCTCAAACCTTATAAGTGAGACCTTATAAGACCTTATAACCTTATAAGCTAACTAGAGAACACATAAAAAAGTTTTATCGAAAGGATTTCCTGTAAAACGCGAATAAGTGCCTTAAATAATATAATTAAACAAACGTGCACCCGAAAATATAAGACTGGTTATAGTATTTTATGAGGTACGACACAGAGAAAATCTCAAGATCGTACAAATCACAGAGATGTACAAACAGATCTAATTTTATTTTAGTTGATCATTCCGTGTCATAAAAGTATACTATAAAATTAATTGTACTAGGGGATGAGAAATCGTAAATTACACGGGAGAAACAATTAAACATTGAAAGGATTATTTTATACATTTAATTGAATTCATAGATTTGGCACTTTACCCCCGAAAAACTAACTTCGTACGCTGTTCGTAGGCCTACCTTATTTCAAATGAAATTAATAAAAGTGCCTTTGCAAATTATATAATTACGTCATCCTGGTTTTAGTATTACAATGTGTCATTATATAATAACAATATAACGACGACGTGCCACAGAATATAAAGTTCTAGAGTTATATACATGATTGCACAATACGATGTTGTCGTAAGTGGTTCACAGGGTTGGCTGAACCAGCTGAACGCCTAAGAATCCATACTGCTTCAAATGGAAAATATATTGATAGCATTATTTGATTATACATTTCAACATTCCAAACGTTAATACATACTCAAATGAATTCCTCAAACTATCAAAAAGATGTTTATTTGATGCTATAGCGTAAAATTTTATAATTGTAGATCCAACTTAAAACCAATACATACTGCTTGTATGTTTCCACACCAAAGAAAGTAGCTCGCTAATTATACTAAATAATTTAGAAACCGTAATGCTGCGAGCATGCTTCAGACTGCATCCTCAAGTATTTAATAACCATTACAAGTATATTAAAATGTTTAAATTAATTTAATTCTATGGAATTAAATGCACCACATAACCTAGACCTATGCATTGTCTTTCTTCGAGTGATATTCATCAAGGTCTTGAGCAATGTCTTGAAAATAAAATCAGATTTTGGGTTGGATGTTTTGCTCCATTATAATAATAGTATGTTTATAAAATTCTGTACAAAAAGTTAAACACGTTTTTTGTTCCCATTCTTTATTTTATTGATCAAATTATTCTTGCCAGAAGCTAATTCGTAGAATGAAAAATGCTGTAAAAATGTATATATATATATGAAATTTTATATTTTTGTCTTGAATTTCTCTTTGTTAACTTGTGGCACGAGAAACAAATAATATAAAAACAACAATAGTTTTGTAAGTTTTAAATTTAAGATTTGGTTATTAACATTAAATTCTTACTATGCTGTTTTCTAAAGAAATTTTCAATTAAAATCGCCAATAATTGGCTTATGCACAAAACATAGTTAGCAAGGTAGCAAACAAATCTATAAATTGCGACCGTCGGTTATATAACACAGGTATTGTGCAACCTCTGGAACTGAGTGTAGACTGTAGGCTATAACGCACGGAAGACTTTGTTCTTGGCCTTCAGATTTCATAATTACGCTCTGGGGGTAAGAGAATTTACAAGGTGAAAAGGGTCAACGCCCTCTGAAATGCGCTTGAAAATAATATCTTATGCCCTTATCCAAAAAATATTACTTCATGTATTTTACAATCAGAGAGCTTTCAAGTTATACAAATTTTGGTATAATCATTGACTTAGGATACTGAGGTTGGCAGCCCATCTACATTGAGCTTATGTATCATTTTTTTTTTATTGGACCCTTTGTGAAATAGCCGTTTATACAATATTTTCCAAATTGTAATTTCTTTCTTAGTTTTCGATATACTGATAATTGGTTGGTTATACTTGAAATACACTCTAGTTGGTTTTGATTTGAGTTTGACTAAGTTTTTAAGTCGGTGTTATGGCAGGAATCGCCATGAAAATCGATGTTTCTGATACCTGAAAATTATTTTCAAAACAATGACGTACTGTATATCCGTCAAATGTTTGTTCTGATTGCTCAGTAGCTTGCATGTTTCGTTGTGAAGACAAGCCTACAACTCATCAAACACTTATAATTAGAATAGCACACAACAGGATCATATAAACTGTACCGTAGTGTGTTTATTTTGATTTTGTATTTGACGAGTTGTAAGCTTTGAAAATGTTATCCTCGCAACGAAACATGTAAGCTACAGACCATAGAGCAGCCTGAATAAATCCTTGGACTATTTGATGGATGTAAGTAAAACCTGTCATTGTCTTATCTGTACTATTATATAAAAATCTAATGGTGTCTGTCTGTATGTGTATTACTAATAGGTGCAAAAGCTACTGTACAAACTGGACTAAAATTTTACAAAAATATAGTTACCATACCGAGGACCATTATAGGACTATTCATATTTCGATACTGGCCGTAGGCTTTGCTCCTTTGGCTTTAAAAGTTGTGAGGTGAAGATTTTAAAAGTAAATATTGATTGGTCTCCATGGCTGCGATGAGAACACTTAACAATGTTTGTTTACTTGCTTTGTCATTTAAATGTAAACAAGAAGAAATGCTAAACTGCATATTTCACAATTTCAGACAGCTGATACAAAGAAATTAAATATAATATTTTCCATAACTATGAGGTAGGTTTATTTTAATCAACCCAAAGGTGAGTGAGCGTAGCGAACG